TAAATGTTAAGAGTATACTCAAAGACAAAGAGATCATACAATATACTTTAGACACTAAAGGGATGGGCCAATACTGATTGTGAATGTTGACAATATAATTCTCACCGAAGATGATGTAAATGAAATAAACCATTTGAAGACTTTTCTCTCATCGCTTTATGAAGCCAATGACTTGATGAATTAAGATTTCTGAAGTATTTCATTGGCATGGATGTTGCTTAATTGAAGAAAGGGATTATTATTTCCCAACATAAGTATGTTCTCATCCTCTGAAAAAAAATTGGGATGTGAGTGAATGTAAGCCTACAGAAACTCCAATTGATCCTAATAAAAAAACTGGGAGAAGGAAGATGATCTAGTGAACATAGTTAGGTATCAAAAATTCATGAGAAGATATGTTAAGTCAATTAAGACATTCGCTCTATAAGAAACCCCTTAAAGTAATCAATAGAATTATCATAAACCTAAAAAGTACACTAGACAAGGGTTTACTCTTTCAAAAGACTACACAATATAGCACATAGGCATACATTGATGCTAATTGGGTGGGCTCAGTTATTGACAAGAGATCAATGACCAGATGTTATACTAGTGTAAGAAAAAATCAGATTACATGCAGAGTAAGAAACAAAATATGGCTAAGAGTAGTGTCGAGGTTAAATATAAGGCTATGGCTAATGGAGTATGTGAGCTGTTATAGTTGAAGAAAATTTTTGAAGTGCAGCATATCCAAATAATATGCCAATAAAGTTTACTGTGATAATCAAGCTACCATAAATATTACAGAAAATCCAGCGCAACATGATTGCACGAAGCATGTGGAAATTGACAAGCAAGTCATAAAAGAAAAGATAAATTCTGGAGCTATTTACATGGTTTTTATCCTGAATGCATAGTATATATTTTCACCAAAGAACTTTTCAGGCCTAATTTTGAGATATTCATAAACAAGTTGGGAATGATAGATATCTATGTTCTAACTTAAGCGGTTTTAGAATTTTAAAAAATTCCATTTTTAGTATTTTTTTTAGTTTATAATTTTATATTTGTGGTCATTTTTCTTTTTTTTTTTAGAATGAAGATTTTGTGACTGATTTTATGGCTTCCCTAACAAGGTCATCTTCCCCTACTATTTATCTTGTAGATCTCTTATGAAATTGTAGAGGAATAATTATTTTTTTTATTACTAATAATATTCACTTCTTCCTTTAGCATTCATGTTACCCATACATACTTGAGGTTTCAATCCTAAACCATAGGGTATCATACTAAAAAAAGATGGAATACTTGTTGCACCAATAGAAAATCTCATTTTCATAAAAGAAATATTCCAATATCCATACAAAATAAATTCTGATGTTATTTGAAAAAGGTTGATGGATACTTTGATCTTAAACATCAGAATCCAAATCTTCAATAATTCGCTTCATGATGCCTCAAATTCCTCTAACGATAATAAAACTACTATCAATAGCACTAACAAAATCACTAATATGACCATTAGTGGAATCAAAACCAGAATATGATCCATTGAAAATCATCAATATTTACTTGGTCTTGATGCTTTATTGTTGTAAAGGCATTTATATAGTTCAATATCTCTTGTTTAACTTCATCTGACATTTTTTCACACAATCACACATCCATATGAGTTTAAACTAGATGATCTTTTAATGTTTTAACACTATCTACGATAATTATACTGCAAAAACCACATTTGATAGACAATTAGTCGTTCTTCACCTTCTTTGCGTTCAAGTCACCTTGAGTCTCATGAGCGATATCTTTCCCCTTAACTCCAATGTTGGTTACCTAATTGGAAATGTATTCAAATTTTAGTTGGCAATCAAACACTAATGATGTTTGCACTAAATCTGATAATGCATAGAGCAGGTCTTAGAGTGCCTGAAACGAGTGCATGAAGCAAAGAAATCTTTCCTAATTCTTTAGCCTTTATGTTATTTTAATAACATGATATCATTCTTCCATTAGTCCATCCATGTTGAAGGATGTGACAATTAATTAATCCTCATAATTAAGTTTATGGAATCCATCCAACTATTCAAACATATAAAAAGAGTGCCAAACAGCAAACAATATTGAAAGAATTTCATCCCATAAATTCGAGTCTAAGTTTCCCTTCGAGTTGAAGCTCATGTTTTGCATCCAACATAGATAGTATGAGAGTGATTTCTAGAAATTATTGTCAATTGCTTGAAACTTGGATGATCATATTTTGAAGAATGAGCATGTACATACGGCCATTGGGTGGTAAGTCGAAGAGTCACCTACTGGGCAGGGTCATTAAGAGCATAAATTGTTAAAAGCAATGTCCCGACAATTTGAGATGTTGAAAATGCTAGAGTAGATAATATGGGAAAGAAACAAGTAGAAAAGAAATTATATTATTGATTGCAAATATGTTATAACCTCTACTATACTCATACCACCTTTACATGCTACTCTTTCCACCACAACCCACTAGCTACTGCCACGATAGCATGTGGACCTCAAAGCAACTACTGACAAACTATAAGTGAACCTTAATTTACTCATTCCTTCCACATCCAACAATAGAATCCAACTATTTTTTCCACACCTAGAACAACTTGAGAAAAGATGCTCCCTGCAATTGATTGGCAATCACCATCTTAATTCTGCTATGGTTGTCGTTTCTAATTCCCCTACCAACATGCTAAAAACCTAACCAAAAATCAAACTAATGAAATTAATAAAATACTAAATTCTCCTAAATTTTGTCCAAACCTTATCTAAGCTTGAAATTCTATAAGTTGATAGATGTAATCAGAAGCTAGAAATTTTTCTTAATCTTCTAAAAATTTATGGGTTCATCTATAAGGTTTCCCAAGCCCTCCAGTGACATATAAAAGGTCCTAATTTTTTTTTTTTTATTTTGACAATCTTTAAAAACTTCTATTTTTAATTGTTGCATTGATTCAAGAGTGGAGAGCCTTCTGGATCACTTAATGGTGTGAGGGTTAGCTCAAATAGAACTTTTCTTTTGGAATTCTATTTTATCGAGTTCAAAAATCCTTTAGTAGCTAACAAAAGAGATTTTGATCTAACACTCCCCAACACCTAGCCAACTAAACCATCCCAATCATGCTAACCTAACCCAAGGTTTAGCCTCATGCTAGTTTGATCTAAGGTTAGGCTTGTCCATGCCAACGGTATCAAAGTTAAGATCCAATTATGCTACATGAATCCATATTAAATCACATTCCAAACAATATAAACTGGGATGCCTAGAAAGATTTACAAAGAATGTAAGGAGAATAAAAGCATCAAGAAGTATTAGACCACCTTAAAGTGCAAATTCAACTTTTCTTGGATAATGTTTGCCAACCATGTATTTCATAGAAATGAAACTCTCGCTCCCCTTTTTTAATATTTTAATTATTGTGATAGAAATTATTTGCTATTAGTTTTTCATTGTTATTTTAGCTTTCTTAGAGATAACAATCATCCTGAATTCCTGATTTGAGTATAAGATAGTTTACTGAGTTTCAAATTTTGAGAATCGAGTGCTAATAAACTATTTAAGTTAGTATCATATCCTACAAGCAGTTCAAAAATTATAAAATAGGATGACAAATTGAATTGTCATGACTCATAAACAAAATGCATCACAATTACTTAGATGAATAGACTTAAGAAAAAGAGATTATTTGAAGGTTTAAATGAGACCATCCTATATAATAGGAATTTTGCATCATTAAATTCAAACATGCAACATAGAATATAGCATAATGTAAATTCAAATTTGCACCATAGATTTAAAGTGCCACTTGTTTCTATCAATACAATAACATATAACAAAACAAAGTGGTGATGTCATCAGAGGAAAGAAACTAGTAAGCTTTTTGCAAAAAATGAGACAACGGCAACCAAATAAAAACCATAGTTAACAAAGGAAACAAAGATAAGATCCAGAACAGGTAATCAAATGCAACAGCAGAAACCAAATAGCAAACACATTGGATAAAAGTATATCGGGGTATTTACATACATACCACTCAATTCCTATTTATTTACAATTCTACCACCTAAACTTTGCTTTTTATATTTATAGCACATAAATATTTCATTAGACCTAAAAAATACCACAATTTTAACTTTTTAAAAGCCAAATACACATATGTAAAAATTAAAGTTTACGTGTTACATATGTAAATTCATAGGAGTTTGGTGATATGAAAGTAAATCTTCAAAACACAAATTGCTTCCATTAGATCTAACATTAAATTCTAATCAGCCATCTAAGAGATCTCTTTCACACAACTGTACAATATCAAATGATATCAAAGTAGAATCCTTCTAAAATAACTTACCTTTCTTTTACAGAATTAAAAAAAAAGAGCATTTTGATCGGTAGACTTAAAGCAAACTATACCGAAAATAAGAAACTGCCCAAAACCGCTAAATACTCCATAATGACCAGAAGGGTTCTACTACTGAAGAACAAACTCCACAAGAGTTATAGCAGCATCCAAACTAATAGCTTAACAATAATCTAGGCATGCGATTGAGATTAGTTCTTCTGATTGCTCTCTACCGAACATGTTCTAAAAATAAAAATTTCATTTTCACTTATACAGTATGTGAAAATGAAACCATTCTATTTGAGTGAGTTTTGAGAAGGTTTGTGAAATTTGAACCCGTTCTTAGATTTCTACCGACATTAACCTGAATAGACTTAACAGATTCACCATTTTTCAAAACATACTACCTCGAATAACCGAATGACCCCTAATGAAATTCTAAAACCAAGACTGCATTTCTCAAATATCAATCCTCTAAAAACAAGAAAAATAAGCAGAATCCCACGCTCCAACTCCATCCATCTCAAATCATCGGTTCAAAAGTTCAAAAAACAAAATTCGACAATCCCACACCAATTAGCGATCTCCAAGAGAAAACAAAACCCTAACCAAGAAAACAAGCGTACAGACTAAAGTCTAGATATAGAGAGAGATTGCCTGCGCTCGTAGAATTCGCGGAACTCCTGAATTTCACTGAAGAGGTGCCGGAGCACCGCTGCCCTCTCCATCACCCACCGACGAGCTCCCCCTTTCTCCTCCCAACGTCAGTTTCTATTTACAGCTGTTACCATTGATTTCCCGTCCGGGTTTTGCCGTACAATTTAAACGATCAAGATTGATATGATGAAACTTTTTGTTGCATTTTAATGGTCAGTGATATATCCGCATAGGAAGTCGTGTGCGGAAGCAACTTTTTGGCTTTTCACTTTTGGATTCGAGCGGTCGGATCACGACTTTGGCAACCGCGGCCCTTCTCTTTTTCTCCCGTCGCTTCTAGTGTGGGTTGCTCTGGAAACTAGCGTAAGATTTGAAAATATTACACTTGCAACCCTCACTAGAAAATTAAGGGTTGTTGAACCATATTAGTCCGTGGGGTTCGAGTCCGACTTCAAACTAATTCAATAGAAAATTACTTCACTTGAACTCAAATTAATGATTTAATAGAAGTTGTGGTCAAATTCGAGCTAATTTTTAGTTGGCATGTCAAATTCGAGTCAACAATGAGTTGGCGTCAGTTCTTATTTTACCTAAAAAAATTAATAGGTTTTTACATACCAATCATCCAAAATATTGAATATAACATTTTTATCACTTAAATTTTACTCACTAGTGAAGGCAATGAGTATGTTTAGGGGGGTTAAAACATTATATTTAATGTTTTAGGTGCTTAAAATGTTATTGTTGAATTCATATTTGTCGTGTGGCTTCTACTCAAACAATAGAGCACAATATCTTAGGGAAA